CCAGCTCAGGTCCAGGTCCAAGCAAACCCCAGCAGGAGCAAACTCCTCGCTGGGCAAGTCATTAATTCCACTGACCCCTGGCTGCCCCACGTAAAGCCAGGCACTGCCCTTGCTCTCCAAAGGGCAAGAGGAGAAACACCCAGGCCTGCACGATGCTCAGGTCCCACTCACAGTGTTCACACGGAGGTGCTTCAGGGAGAGCAGCTGAGTGCTGAGGACCCCACGGCACGACCCCGACACCCCGGTAATTTATGCCAACAAGGAATGAGCAATTTTGTACACTCACACACGAAAAAATAACTGCTTTGCAATAGATTTCTCAGCTGAGCCCCTCCAAGACCACTCATCTAGTGCAACTGGGGAACCGGGAGCGGGACCGCCAAGCCTTGCATTCATCTCTGATCCACGTGCACCAGCAAGGTGATTTAACACACCTCCCTTTCCCCAGACCCCAAATCAGGACTGCCTGAACAGCGCCTGGTTCAAAAAGGAGGGATGCTTCACCATATTCGAAACCCAGGCTGCTGCAGAAGATCTCAGGGTTGGTGTTTCATGGTCAAAACCCGCCCAAGCCAACTTTTGGAAACCCGGCCCCGCACCCAGCAGCACGAAACCCCAACCTCTGCACGTGGCGAGATCCACTTCATCCCCTTTGGATGTGCCCACAGCTGCTGCCTATCGGTAGGTATTTTGGAAGCCATCATGGCCTTGATTCTCTTTCCTCCAGTAAATTCTCTCCTCCTGCAAAAGCACCCAGAAGGCTCCCAGCACTCAGCCTTGGCATCTCCGAGGGCTCCCTGTAGTTTTTTGCCCTCCTGCTTCCCTCTAGTCCCAGTCCTTTGTGCCACAAGAGGCCTTCTGGGTTTACAGCAAGCAACTGCAGCCAGCTAGCTCCCATTAGGCCTTGCCATGCATTTTTAATTAGCAGCGCGGCTGCTCTTCCAGCGCTGCTTTAATGCTTGTGCCTCGGAGGGAAATGCTTTTACCCATCGCTGCTAACAGCCACGGCCATGTGCAAGGTCTAGTTGGGTCTTTGCACAACCTGCCTACGGCTTGGTTACTGCTGCCATGCAGGCACTCCTGCCTGTCCAGAGGTTGCTCTGACACTCAGGAATTTATTGAGGCCACAGCATTAATATCAGGAGTCCAATCTGACAGCCAGATCCATGGCTGTGGGTCTCCGACGTGGCTGTGCTGCAGTTGTGAAGCGCTTGGAGCCTCTCCCAGCTTGAGGAGAGGGTGCCTAGGACCACAGCTGGACATATGCTCGTGCTTGTACCTGCAACCACAGCAACCACGTCCAACTGCAACCGCTTGCAGCTCCCGGTGGCCTCAGTCCGCGGGAGCAGCGCTACCAGGAGGTGCAGGCAGCCCTGGCTCTCCTGCCTGCATCCATCCACGTTTGCATCGCTCCCGCAAGCTGTAAGAAGCAACTTTCTCCGTGCACTTGTGTTTTCGTTTGTCCTGGACTAACCAATTCCCAGAGGTTGTGGTCCTCATGCCACGTGGCTGGTTTTACTGGCTCCGGTAGCTCCAGAGGGCACAGAGCAATGCTCTGCGCAAGGGACCCGTCCAGAGCAGGCAGGGCTGACCCCTTTACCCAAAGACCCTACCAGACAAGCCCACGGCCCCAGCACGTGCTTCCCATGGGTGTTTTCCTTCCCATCTCAGCGTGAGGGGAAGAGGAGAGTGGCAGCTTCTGCCAAGCCAGGCTCCTCCTCGCTACCTGCAAGCACAGCAGCTGAGTGCTTCCAAATGAGAAAAGCACATAAACAATCCCAGTGAATAAATACAGCCCCTGGAGTTGGTGTTTCAGAGGAAGATTTCAAACTCCTTTACTGTTTGCTCTCGGGGACCAGGGGATCCAGGCTGAGCATCCAAAGCCACCAGCACCAGCGAATGCCTGTGCCATGCCCAGCCAAACCCAGTGCTCAGCACCCCCTGGCATGGCCCTACCACCCCCAGACCCCAGCATCACCGTTTAATGACAAAACTACAACCCAACCCCTGACCCATGACGGCACAGTGGCAGAGGTGGAGAAGTAGGACAACGAGTCTCTTTGCCAGCATTATTTTTCCCTCTGGTCCCTACAGAAATCAGGTTTGGTCTGTAGCCAGCCCAGGACACCTGCTCCAGGATAAGAATAAAATCAAAATATCCCTTAGCCCTTGTTTTGGACTGCAGAGACAGCTAAAGGAGCCACAAAGCTAAAACTCCTTTCTAAAAGAAATTGAAGTCTTACAGGCTCCCAGGGATGGGAGCTGGAAAAGCCATAACACCCCACAGAATAAGGCTTTTTCATATTTTTTTTAACCTATATTGTGATTTCTACCTAGGAAGAGACGCAAGCAAGGCTGATGGAAGACAAGGCAAAAGGCAAGCACACCCATGAAACGACACATGTGGAAAGTACCACAGGGCTGATTAGCTTTTCATGAAGCTATCTACAAATTCCGGGAGCCACGCTTCTAGACCCAGTAAAATTGTGGAAAAATGGATCTTGAAATCACGATACAGTTCCACAAGGGAATTGTAGAGCGAGCGGTTTCCTTGAGAAACAGCTAAAGTGGTTTTTCTTCCCATCTCCCTCTCCTCTGCAAGGCTGCGGTGTTAACCTGCAAGGACTCAGCCTCCCATCGCTTTACCCTGGTAGGAAAGCAGAGAGCCTCCTGCTGATCCCCAAAAACCTGGAGCAAGGTCCATGCTGGTTGGTAGTGGGAGCCTGCTCTGGTTTGCTGTTCCGAGAGATGAAGGTGGTGGCAAAAGCATCCCAGTGGTTTTCCACCCATGCCCAGCCCTCCTCTAGCATCCCCTCACGTGTGTGCCTCATTTTTCTAATTAAAAAAGAAAGGCAGAAGCTAATTTTCTGCCCTCAAGTAGCAAAAGGACTGAGCACCCACAGCCTTTGCTAGAGGCACCCTGCAAGACAGCCCGTGTCCCCGGGGAGGGCGCAGCCCGACAGTGCTGGGAACAGTGTCCATCCCTCGCCGCCTCCCAGAGTGAATCATCAGCATTTTACCCCATCAAGTCCCAAATCCTCATTCAATTAAAAGCCAAGGAAGGTCCCAAATCCTTTCCATTATAGGTAAGTGATATCTGGTTCTTTGCGGAGGAGCGGGAAAGGGAGGCACCCGATGGCCCCAGCCCTCAGGGACAGCATGACAGAGAGTGTCTGTTTGGTGTTGCAACTGGTGCCAGGTAGATTATTTGGATAACGGGGCCCAAGTATCCCAGAGAGCCCCCAGTTTGGCAGCTATGGTGGTAACCAGGGCATCCCGCAGGGTAGGTGCTGCAGAGCATGGTTTTCAGCGCTCCCAGCAGCATCTCCCATCCTTATCCTCCAGTAAGATCCAGATAATGGATCAGCAAATCCCAGACACCGAATGCATCAGCTCCAGCCTTCCCAGCAAGGACATCCCAAACGGCAGGAGACCAGACTTTCTTGGGAACCTCCGATACAAACCCTCAGGGTCGATCAGACCGTAAGTTAAAAAAGGGGGCTGAGGACGGGGGAGCTTCGCTGCCGATGGCTGCAAGCGCCGAAGGACAGGGAGAGGGGGACGTGAGGAGCGCCGACGGAAGCAGTCCCTGGCTTTTGCAGAGAAACAGCCACTAACACAAGAAACAAGGTGCAGGGCAGGTTGCTGGCACCGGGGACGGGCAGTGCTGGGCATGCACGGGCTGCCCTGCTGCAGCGTGAGCGGGCAGCAGCTGCCCAGCCACGTTAAAGGCAGGAAAAAACACCTTTCCTCCGATATTTAATTATGCCTGGGTAATAAGCCCTCTAGTCAACCACTGATACACCAGAAGCAGCCAAGAAATGGTCTTTTTTTTTGGTCTGAACACCCAGGTGGTTTCATCCTTCCCAATTTCCCCGCCCGAAGCGGCAGGATCCTGACACCGTCGTCTCCTTTTGGAAATGGAAAACGGAATGCTCAAGGTAAGGTCAAACCCCTGCCAGGAACTCTCCCCTTTTTACCCCAGCCAGGGTATTATGGTGCCTCTACCACGCACGCCATCCTACACCCCCAGAAGGACCCTGGGATAGACCGAGTGGGAGGGGGACCCCAACGCTGCCTTCACCTGGGGTTAAAAACCAGCCTTTCTGCTCAAGACAAAGTAACTACTGAAGCATGTCTCCCCATCACAAGCCATCCAATTTGCCTCCTGCAGAGCAATGCCACTTCGCAAATCTCCAGGCATTACAGGAACCATGGAATAAAACCATTCCCAGTGCAATGACACCGAAATTAGGGCTGAAATTAGGCTGGGAACAGAACTAGCACGGTTGCTTCTAGCCCATAAACGAAAATGTACGTATACAGCCAATTGCCCACAAAGATATTGCACTTTGTGATCACCTGTAGCATTTTTTCCTGCTCCCAGCTTTGCCCCCACGTTATTCCCTAAGCGCTGCAAAGCACAGGAACCTGGCCCAGCCATTCCCTGCTCCATCAGCGCCAACAGATGTTTGCAGCACGAACACCACACGTCCCAGCTCCCTGTAGGACACCGAAATGCTGTCCCTGCACCGGGGAGGGGTCTGAGCCCAGCCCTGGGGCTTCCCGACCCACCGCAGGGATGCAGGCACATCCATCTGCAGGGAAAGCAGATGCAGAGTGCCCAGAAATCACGTCCACCCTTACAGGGCTGCTCTGGGGAGCACAGGAGGAGGAGGAGGAGGGAAGTAAGGATGCATCTCCGTCCCCCAGGGTCAGGTCTCAAGCAGGAGGCTTGCTGCAGCTCGTGCACACGAGGTTTTGCTCTCTGCAACGGGTTGCACAACCAGCCCAGAGATGGGGGCCAAGACCTTGTCCCAGAGACAGGTAACACGCTCCTCTCTTCCCCATCTCCTGCCCAAACTAGAAGAACTTGACCCCATCTCCATCACAAAGGAAATTGCAGGATCTCACATGTTTCCAGCACACAGAAATACCGTCTCCAGCTCCCCATCTCCACCCCCAGCCACCCAAAGAGACCCCAAAGCAGCGCTACTCACATTGTACAGGACTGTGGTCCACCCTTCCATGGTGATGCACTGGAAGACGGTCAACACAGCAAAGAGGATGTTGTCGAACTGCGTGATCCCGTCGTTGGGACCGATCCACTCCCGGCATTCGTAACCTGAGGGGCAACCCTGCACCCCACATGGATGGGGGGGGTCCAGCTCCTCTAGTTCACCTGCGAGCACACAGCAGAGAGGCAAAGGAAGCAGAGATAAGAGAGAGGCAGGGGACAAGCAAGGGAGGATGCAGATAGGTTTGGGGTAGAGCAGGGGACCCAGCTGGGATTAGCCCCGGCTGCATGCAAGCTGCTCCCTAAGAAACTGGGACATCTGGAACCCAACCAGCCAATGCCTGAAGCATGTGAAGCAAAATTCAGGATCTTCTCAGCCCTGGACTTCCTACAATGGCACCACACACTCGTTCCAGCTGTCTTCCACCCAGGGGATGCAAAGAGGGTGCAAAGCCCTTCTCCCCACCTGAATTGTTTGTGTAGCAGGCTCGGTGCAGCTTCCCGCTGTAGAACTCCAGGCCGATGATGGCAAACATGAGGATAGCGAAAAAGAGCAGCAAGCCGATCTGGAGGAGAGGCACCATGGCCTTCATGATGGATTTCAGCACAATCTGTAAGCCTGGAAAGGGAAGAGCACGGCTCAGGACAGTGATGCACGTCCATCCCACCCAGGAGCTGAGGACCACAGAGGAAAGCACCATCCTGCGGCTCAAGGAGGGCTGGTTTCTGGCTCTGCCTTGCTGTGGGACACTCACCGAGTCCCCTCTCTAATGTCCCACCTGTCCCACGCTGGTGGGACGCAGACCATGCAGCCCCGTCCCCCTCGCTGCCCCCACGGCACGGATCCAGCACACCACCCAGGGAGGACCGGCACCAGTAGCAGCCTAGTTACTTTATTTATCCCCGTGCCGGCAGATGAAATCTTGCAAAAAGAACCTAAAAATCTCCCTCCCTCAGTCCTGAAAGGATCCACCCACTGCCTTCTGGCCGGGGAAGCGGAGCTGCCGGCGGGGCGCCGCAAGACCACGCGACCGGGGAGGGTGCGCTGCCGGCGGCCCCAGGCAAGCCACTGAGCCCAGCCTTGTGCCAGTACAGAGCGGGCTGGATGGGGGGAAATGCTACCCGGGGACACCAAACGCTGCCATCCTCAGGATTCCCACTACACGGGGAGGTTTGTTCCCCTTTTCCCTGGTCGCATCCTACATCTCCGAGGTGGCACGAGGACTCCTCTCTACTCTGAAGGACATCAAGGATGGATGCGGACACCTCGGGAGGAGAACCAGGAGCATCCAACTTACTAGGAATGCCTGAGACGAGCTTCAGAGGTCTGAGCACGCGCACGGCCCGCAGCGTCCGCAAGTCCACGTGGGTGTTGAAGTGTGTCCCAGCAGTGGCGAGGATGCTGCAGGCGGAGAAGGAGAGATCAGAGTTATCCCGGGCAGACCCCTCAGCCACACGTGCCAGCGAGCCACAGTGGATGCTGGCACCCAAGCTCACGGGCCACTCTGGGCAGCCAAAGCCACCTAGGGGCCACCCAGCCTTGGCAGCCCCCCACTGATGCCCCCCGGGTGGCTGGGGACAGCCCCACGCCGCAGTGCTGGCCGTCACCCATGCCGTGCAACTGCGCTCCGGGGTCTCAGTGCTGCTGACACCGTGCTCATCCCTCCTGCACAGGTTTAAACTCCTTTCCAAGGAAGAGGCACACGGAGCAGAGACGGTGCCCCAAAAATGGGTGTTGCTCCTCCGATGGTCACCCACACTCCCCTGGCAGCACCTCCAGCCATCAGCCGCTCCGGCTTTTTCCACACATGGAGTTTCCATGGAGCCCACCTCTGGGATTGCCGATAAGGGGCTGAGAACCTCACACGCATTCAAAAATCTATAGTAATGAAAGTTTGATGACCTTGGAAGGCAACCGGCAGGCGCGGGAAGGACTCCAGAGGTTTTCCTTTAAAACACAAAGCTTTTTTTCCAAGCCCATCTCTGGAAAACAAACTGGGGCAGAAGGGAGCTGGTGCACACCGAGTCCAGCAGTGGAAATACTCGGGGCACCTGTACTAGGGGGGATGGGGGTGGTGCAGCTCAGCGATGCCAGCAGAGCCGCGGGAGCACAGACGGAGATGCTGGAGCTTGTGGCCTCCTCATCCCTTCAGGATCAGTCCCCAGGGAGAAGGAGGAGGAAAGGGATGGGAGAGCAAGGGAGCGGGACAGAGGGAGGCAGCAACCTCAGGGCTGTTTGCAGCAATCCAAAAACTGAGGGAAATTGGGTCATTGTTCCACTAATTCATCTAATTACAGGCCAGAGCAGCTCTCTGGCGTGCTGAGCAATTAGCGCTCTTTCTCTTCCCCTCTCCCCGAGGTACAGCAGGTACCAACCTGTCCCTCCAGAAAGGCAGCTGGGTTTCCTAGGATACCCCGGCAGCAGAAACACTCTCACATCAGCAAACCAGGTTGTTTCAACTCCTTATCCCAGACCCTTCTTCCTCGGCACAAGGAAAGCTCGGTCCCAGAAGCTGCCCGGATGCATCGCTGGTGACTCCCCGTGTATCTGCTTATCCCAGACATACACAGGGACCTTCTGCCCTTGATGACACTTGCCCGTTCCCCCGTCCCACTTTGGCACCTTCCCCCAGCCCATCACCAGCCCCCACTACCCACGGGGCTGATGGGAGAGCAGAAAAGGGACTTAATTAAGCCAGGAGCACCCAGAGGCTGGGGAGAGCTGCGTTGTTAAATGGGTTGTAAGATCAAAATCAATAAGTATGATAAAGCACGGCCACTCGGCAGCATGTGGGAGAGCGGAGAGCACGGGCACTTACATCCCTTTCACACAACCGGCCACCGAGGAGGGTAACCCAGCGCTCCCCAAAACGCCGCTGCAGAGGACACGTGGCACCCAACACCATGCCGGAGACCCTGAGACCCTCCTTCAGCTTCTGCTCCTCACACCCCAACGCCTGGTGTTCGATCAGCCTCCCAAACGGGCAAGAGAAGGGGATTTGCAGCCCGTGCGCTGACTCCAGCCGGGACTGAGCATCTCCAGGGATGCTCTCGGGCTGGACGCAGGCTCCAGCCCTTCTCCTGCGGGTTCGCTGATGCCAGCACAGCTGGAAGGCTCCCGGCAGCAGAATGGGATCGACAGCTCTCTCCTACCACCACGGAGCAGCATCAGCCATGGTCCTCCGCAGCCGAGCAGAGGGATGGAGGTGGAGCTGTCACCGCTCCCAGCCCCACCGGCCATCTCCTCCCCGGAGCAGGACCATGGCGCTGGTCCAGCGCAGCGGCGGGGAGCAGAGCGCCCCGGCTGCAAAGTCCTCCGCTAACCCAGATTTGTTTGAAGGGCTCGGGAGCCGTCGCGCCGAGCCTCCAGGCAAGGTTCAGGCGATTCCAGGGCACTACTTCCCAGCGCTCCAGTTTAGCTGCTAAGAATGGGACTCCTCTGTGGCAAGGTGACATGCTCCTTGTCCTCGCTGGGGGACAAGGGACATCACGACCTCTTTTGGAAGGGGGTTTGGACAGGTCACCAGGGTGAGGTGGTTGCACTGCAGACCTGTCTCCCGACAGACAACAGAAAAATGACCCGCAGCTACAAAAGAGATGCCTGAGCATCCTTCTGCGGGCGCAGCCGCAGCTCCTGGCAACGGCAGGGGCGGATGCACTGGGAGCACACGCTGCTGGAGGCGCTGCCAGCAAACTCATCCACCCCAGCGCCTCTGAGCAGGGTCTGAGCAGCCCCGGACCACCTTCAGACTAATTGAGACAACTGGAAAAAGCCAAGCAAGCTTCCAGGCAGGCAAGGATGGCTTCCATCTGCTTTTCCCAAGTCCTTCAGGGGCTCTAAATAACGGACACCAGCTCTCCCTGACAGCCAGGCTTCGCTAGTACACCCAGACCCCACCACCACCTTACCACTGATAGTAAGCACAACGCTCAAAACACACCTCCCTGCTTTGGACTTCAGCATCTTACCTGTTAATTGCTTATTAACCCTGTAAGCATGTCTTTTTTAAGCTGTTCTTTTTGCAGAGAGCCACCCATACCGCTCAGCACGCCCCAATTCTGATCTACTTATTGACATGCGTTGGGTTTCGTGTAGGTGCTCGGGCTGCAGAGACGGCACTCGGGCTGTGACAGACCCTTCTGCCGACGCGGGGCGGCAGCTCCAATATCTGTAGAACAATTTAAACCCTTCTCAAACACTCACAATATCCACGTCTGATGTGCTAATAATTATTCTTTATTTTTAGGCAAGGACCCAAACTAAAATTACATCTCACCATCCAAGTTATTTGAAAAAGCTGCCAGATTGGGCTATAAAAATCCCAATGATCTCATGCTTTTCATCATATGTACTGGAGAAAAAAAAAAAGTGGAAAAAAAAAAAGTGAAGGCGTTTTTATAGGTCATCCAGGCAAAGGGGTTAGTTTTACTTCTTTGGAGGAAAGAGGGAAGAGACTTCAGGTGGAGGAAAGAGCAGAGAGGAGCTATTGGAAGAATGCAAATGAGAGAGGAGGCAGGATGGGAAATATATGCTAATCCCCAACGTCTAATTGAATAGTGAGCAATCACCAGCAGACAAAAAAAAACACGCTTTCGGGGGGTGTGGGGAAAAAAATCCCATGCTTTGTGTTTGCAACCCTGATGATTGTTTTATTGTATTTATTTACAGGCTGGGGAGCGCAGGGCGAGCTCTGCAGGCTCTGGGGCTGGCTGCGGAGCGATGCTCAGTCCTCGGCACCGCTCCAGCTCGCAGCAGCTGAGCAAAGCGCACGCCCTCGCCTCCAGCTGAAGACCCACACCCATGGATTTCTATTCCCAAGAGGGGGCAAAAATAAAAAAAAAAGCCAAACCACCAAGAATAATCACATTTTGAATGACTCCCTGCTCTCTGGGACTTAGCAGAATAAGCCATGAATGATGCTTGATGACCCTGCCCACACAAAGCCCTTTTACTAGCGCGGAGCCAGCGCCGAATTCGGGCACTATCACCCACGACAGCACCCACCGTGTCCCCGCTGCCCGTGCCGGGGGCTGCGCATCGCACCCATCCCCATCATCCCCATGAAGCCCCATCCCCACCAGCCACCCTGAAGCCTCAGCCCTTGGGGACAGCACACGCAGCTCGGGGCATGCCAGGCTTCGCACCAGGGACCCCAAGCAAAGGCTGAACCCCCAGATCATCAGCTCGACCCTCGATTCATCCTCCCAAACTGAGCATCCCTCAACCAATTCCATGAGGGATGGCCGCAAAGGCGCGTGCAGACAAGCCGTCCCAGCAAAGGGCAGCTCTGGGGTGTGCTGGGTGGAGGGAGGGATTGGAGGAGACAGACTCATCTCAGCTCAAAATCTGGGGCAGGGAGGGTGCTGGCTGGCTGGCTGACGCGCAAATTAATATTTATAATTAAGTGGAAAGGTCCCTGAAGGCTTGCACTGCCACCCGACTCTACGAGGGAGACTACTTCATAATTAATACACTGGTCAAACGGCTCACAGAAAATAAGTTTCATGATGAATTTACCCCATTCTTGCTCTTTTCTGCTGGTGAAGCCACCCCTCCCCTCTCTGCAGACAGCAGCATGAGCAGCAGGATGTACTCCAGGCTCACGGGTCCAAACCCGGCTCGAGGAGGGCCAGTGGGATGGGGTCACCACCCTGAGGATGCCCAGGCAGAGCACAGTGATCCTGCTTTGGGGGTGCCAAGAGACATGGACACCAGGTCAAAGTCCTGCCCTCAGCACAGTTCAGAGCAACCTCGAAGCCTCCACCGTCTTCGCTTTCTCTTTCTAGGTTTCGGGGCCATGACACAAGTGGATTGCACTGCTGCAAAGCTCCTGATCCATCTTTCCCTGCAGCTTCCAGAGCCCTGAACTGAGCACCAACAGCTCCTCGCGAGATGTGACGACGGCAAATGACAAAAATCTGCTGTCGCCAGCCTTTGATTTGGGGTTGAAGTGATCCCCCAAGGCCACCTTTTCTTGGAGAGGTCCCCAGGATTCAGGGCATGAGGGAGCATCCCCTCTGCACCCCGGTAGCTGGCCAAAACCCCACAACTCCCTCCCACCTCCTGCCCCATCTCTCAGAGGATGCAAGATTTGGCAGGGGGAGGAGATGCCAGGGAAACTGCACAACTGGGATGTGGTGGAAATCCAAAGTCAATGCCAGGAGGCTGGGGAGTCGGCTTTTCAAGGAGAAATACAGCAGAGGCCACTGTGAACCAGCTGAACTCATGCCAATGGAGATGTCCGAAACCCCAGGGATATTCACTCAAGCCTGGGTGAGACCACCTTCCCACGTGAGGGTGTGGTGGAAAACAACCTTTTCCCTTCCCTCAAGCCAGGCTTTTATCCCACAACTCCGGAGCGAGGTCCATGGCAGCACAAAGAAATGGCACGTGGGGACCTTGTGGCTTGGCCCAAGGCTTCACCTCTGGGAGGACGAGTGCTTCACCCCTGACCGGGGACTCTGCAAGGGTGTCGGGGCCGTGGGAGGAGCCTCTGGGGACCCCACGAGATGGAGGGGTGCCTGAGAGGGGAGGTGATGCCCCCAGGGACCAGCAGTCACGTGTGAGGGACTGACTCACGGCTGCGGGAAACCAACGAAGAGGGAAGAGATGGGAAGGATGGGGCAAAGCACGTGAGCAGCACGGATGCCTGCCTCCCCCAAAGCCAGAGCCATGGGTCTGCCTGCCCAGGAGACCCCCCACCACCACCAGCACAAAGCCTTTTCCCACATCACCCACACCGTCCCCTCACCGGGCTGGGAAAACAGTGCTGCCCTTTGTACGAGGTGCCGATGTCAGGCACGTCCCGTCGCCGTGGCATATGGCACATGAATCATTCACAGAGCTGGGGAATTAATTATTCATCCAAACGAAAAGACCAAACACTTTACTAATTGTCCTGGAAGGAAAGAGCTGGGAAGGGGGTAGGAGATGGGACAGGCATCAGGTTGGAGACCTCATGAAAGGACAAGGAGGGAAGTGGAGAAGTGTTGTCTGATGTGACCACAGCATTTGCTCTGCTTTTGGACTTGGGATTGTCTCTTTACTGGTTTATCCTACAGGATAACACTCCTTGCAACATTACAGGCTCTGGCAGAATAATCCTGTTGGGATGCAGCACTCGTGCCTGTTCTCCGACCCTCATATCCACTCCCCCAAACTTCCCTGCCTGGAGGTGTCCTGTCTTCCCTCAGTTAGGAAAACTCAGGGG